AGTTCTAATAGGCCGATCTCACTTAAAATTGGTCTAGGAATGATCAGCTCATGGTCCTGACAAAGTTAAGTTAACATTATACTATTTTTTACTCAAATTGGTACATATTTCAACAACAAAAATAAATACTGTAGACTCAGGTGACCGTTTAGGCCCATGGGCCTCTTGTTATACAATACATTTTTTTTTAATGTCACATGTAAATATCACAAAACAACAATAGTATTTACATGTACGGTAAGTAAATTTGATAAATATTCTGAATCCTGGGATTTGTCATTAAATAATGTAACTTACCACTAACATCAAGGTCCAAAAATAAAGTTTTGAATAAAAGCTGCATTGAAAAGTTCAGTTTTGATATCAGAGTAAAGTTCACAGTTAATATCAAAATGTGTTACTTTGCAAGTCACAGAGTGCATAGAAGGTCCTGTAGAGGTATAACGGGGTGAGAATACTGGCCTGTTTTAACTTTTTGTTTGAGATTGCCACAACGGAATTGAATTGCTAATGTCTGCCTGTCTATACCAGTCATTTATGTCTTCCTCATGAAACACTCAACTAGCTTTCATGACTCTTTTTTTTGCTGGGGTTCGATGTTACTGTTACAGATTTACTAGGTGAGATTTGGTGTCCGTTAGAGAACAATAGGAGTTAATAACAGTTAAATTTTAGTCTGTACTTCAAAATGTTTTACCATATGAATATATATGAACATATATATACAACACAGCAATAAAGATCTTTGCTGTTACATTTTACTTATTTATGATCTTGTTTTAACTTCATATATATTAAACTCGTTATCAGAACATAATATTTATTTTCCACTCTATACACTTACTAATCAAAATATAATAATTTGTTTGAATTTGAATTCAGTTGAAAGGCTTCAAGAAATATTTATTAACAAAGATTTTTTTTTTTTTTGATAGTGTTTCGAAAGATGAAGAATTTGTAACTATGAAAAATGGTATTATAAAGGTAGCATATAATATATTAATAGACTTCAGGGGTACAGTTGTAATGCACTGGAAATAGAAAAGGTTCATATGTGCAAAAATCATAAGATAATATTGTAATATATTGTTGAATTAATAATTAGCATGCTTCTCCTTTGAGGCAATCAGAAGGATAAAATATTGGTTCAGACTTTAAAAATACATTAATTGTTTATACATTGTATTTCCTATATCACATTATGTACTGAAGTCTATGATGTGAGGCACGGTTAAGTCTAGTGGTAGGATGCTGGGTTATTGACCGAAGGCCTATAAAGGTTGAGGATTCGAGTCATGGCACGGCACTGTGTTGTATTTATGGGCAATTAAGTTGATAACTTGACTCCGCTTGTTAGCTCACCTGGTCCGAAGGTGTAGACCTGAGTGCAATGGATATCGATCATTTTTGCCCGCAGGGCAAGTGAGCTTATATAATTATGTCGTGGTGCGGCGTCCGTCCGTCATCTTTTCCTTTAAACAACTTCTTCTGAAGTACGGACAGGCCTAGAGTCATGATATTTGGCTGAAAGCTTTGTTGATAGGAGTCCTACAAATTTTGAGAACGAAAATGACCTTGACCTACAAATGTACTTTAAAAGTCACATGGGTCAAATGTGTCAAACACTTAAAACAACTTCTACTGAAGAACTAAAAGGTATAGAATCTTCATATTTGACTGGTGGCTTCCTGGGATAGAGCTTAACAAAGTTTAAGAATGAAAATGACCTTGACATACTTTCAAGGTCGCAGGGGTCAAATATGTCAAAAACTTCAAACGACTTCTGATGATGAACTAAAAGGTATAGAATCTTCATATTTGGCTGATGGCTTCCTGAGATGGAGCCCAACACAGTTTGAGAATGAAAATGACCTTGACCTACTTTTAAGGTCACATGAGGCAGATATGTCAAACACTTCAAATGACTTCTTCTGAAGAACTGGAAGTTATAGAACCTTATTATTTGACTAGTTATTTTCTGGGGAAAAGCCAAACAAAGTTTGCAAATGAAAGTGACCTTGACCAACTTTCAAGGTCACAGGAGTCAGATATGACTAACGCTTAGATCAACTTCTTCTGAAGTACTGCAAGTTATAAAATCTTAATATTTGGCTAGTGACTTCCTGAGATAGAGCTCACCAAAGTTTGTGAATGAAAATGACCTCAACCTACTTTAGAAGTCACAGAGGTCAGCAACATTTTAATGGATTTGTTCTTCAGAACTGAAAGGAATGGATTCATAAGATTTGGCTGGTAGCTTTTGGAATAGAGCTAACCAATTTGAGAAGGAAAATGACATTGATCTACTTACAAAGTCACAAGGAAAAATATGTCAAGCAACTTCTGAAGAATCAAAAAGCATAGAATCTTATAATAATATTTTGCTGTTAGTTTCAACAGATGGAGCCAACAAAGTTTGCAAGGGAAATATTTTTAGTGCAATATAATATTTAATGAGAATATTTTGCTATGACTGCTTAAATAATCAGGTGAGCATTACAGGCCCTCTTCAGGGCCTCATGTTGGTCAGAAGCATTCATGGGAGGTGGGGATTAAAAATTGTACAAATGGTGGGGCTGACCCCCCAGGGGGCTGAGGGGCGGGGGCCAAAAAGGGGATAATTTGGCTATATTGCTATAAACAACTTCTCCTGCAGAACTGTGCAATGGATATCAACCATATTTTACTGGAAGCATCCCTAGGTAGTGGGGATTCAAAATTGTACAAATGGTTGGGCTGAACCCCAAGGGGGCTGAGGGGCGGGGCCAAAAAGTGTTATTTGGCTATTTTGCTTTAAGCGACTTCTTCTCTACAACTATAAGATGGTGGGGCCAAAAGGGGGCAATTTGGCTAAATTGCTATAATGACTTCTGCAGAACTATGTGCTGGATATCAATCATATTTGGTCAGAAGCATTCATTAGAGGTGGGGACTCAAAATTGTACAAATGGTGGGGCTGACCCCGCAGGGGGCTGAGGGGCGTGGCCAAATAGGGTAATTTTAACCTCTTTTTATTAGCTCACCTGGCCCGTAGGGCCAAGTGAGCTTATGTAGTGGTGCGGCGTCCGGCATCATTATTTTACATTTTCTTCCCAATAACCAAAAGGCCTAAGGTGATGGTATTGGGCCTGTAGCATGCTGGGATGAAGAGCTACCAAGTTTGTTCAAATAAATGACATTGACCCACTTTCAAGGTCAAGGGTCAAATGTGTTAAAATCTTTAAACAACTTCTTCTCAATAACCAAAATTCCCCAGGTACTGAAATTGGGCCTGTTGCATACTGGGATGAAGGCTACCAAGTTTGTTCAATTGAATGACCTTGACCCACTTTCAAGGTCACAGGGGTCAAATGTGTTAAAATCTACAAACAGCTTCTTTTTAACAACCAAAAGGCCTAGGGTGATGATATTGGGCCTGTATCATGTTGGTATGAAAGGCTACCAAGTTTGTTCAAATGCATAACCTTGACCCACTTTCAAGCTCACAGGGGCAAAATGTCCTAAAATCTTCCAACAACTTCTGATGAATAACCAAAAGGCCCAGAGTACTGATATTGGGCCTGTAGCATGCTGGGATAAAGGGCTACCAAGTTTGTTCAAATGAATGACCTTGACCCACTTTCAAGGTCACAGGAATCAAATGTCTTAAAATCTTCAAACAACTTCTTCTCAATAACTAAGAGGCCTTAGGATCATGATATTTGGCCAGTAACATGCGGGGATGAAGGACTACCAAGTTTATTCAAATGAATGACCTTCACCCATATTCAAGGTCACAGTGGTCAATATATGTTTAGATCTTTAAATAACTTGTTCTGTATAACCAAAAGGTCCAGGGTACTGATATTTTCCCAGAAGCATGCTGCGTTGGAAGACTATAAACTCTGTTCAACCTAGTGTCCTTGTTCGACATTCAAGGACATACGTTTAAATCTTTTAATAAGTTCTTATGAATCAAACACTGATATTCTGCCTGTAGCTGTATTTTAGTCCACTTTTAAGATTACAAGTGTGAGATTAATACCAGGTGAGCGATGCAGGCCCATTGGGCCTCTTGTTATTATTATTATGAGAATTTTCCTATCGATTCGAAAGGTACTGCATGCAATTTTGTACCAGGGAAGTTTGGTCCGAGTAGTTCCATACTACAAAATATATCATTTAATGTAATGTAGAGTATGAGAACTCTATTATTTTTGACTCCAACTTGATCAGTTATTGCATGGTAGTGAGCTTGGATGAAAGGCAATATTAATAACCTATATTGATATACTCTTACATGAAGGTCAAAGGGGTCTAATGTGTTAAATTCTAGGACTTCCTCTGAATGAATAAGAAATTAGACTCGATCATGATATTTGGCCTTTATATATGAACTTCTTTGAATGACACGGGTGTGAGATGAATGTCCAATGAGTGATACAGGCCTGACTTGGGTTTTTTATATAAAATATAGAAAAGAATCAAATTTAATTTTGTTCCTTGTTTTTGTCCTTCAGACCATTGGACTTTCTCAACTGCAGTGAACCCCTTGACTTAGGTGGAAATGAAACCAAAAGGAAAGAAATAGGATATGGTTGTACCAAAGTGAGTGACTTGTATATAGGTTTGTAACATTGTCGGAAACTGCTTTTAATAAAACAAATATGTTAATCCACAAAAAATACAATATTTCAATATAGAAGTTGAAAATGAGTTCCTTTGTTGAACATCCATCATATAAATTTATGAATGTAGCTAAAATTTCTCATTTACATGAATATTTAGGAGGCAAGGTATAGTCTAGTGATAGGACATGTACCCCAGTCTTGTGACCGACTGTGTTGTATCTTTGAGCAAATTACTTGACTCCTCTTTATTCCAGTCTACTCAGCTGTAAATGAGTACGGGTTTGGGCAGTGCTAGAATTGTTGAATGCTAGCTGTGAGCACGCAAATACCAGGCAGCACCGGCTGTATGCTCCCAAGGGAGTTGAGAAAGATATTGGCTGGTTACAAGAGCCCTATAATTAAACCATGGATAATAATTTCTGAACCGCTTTGAGATGACTTACAAACTTGGTTGTGATAAAGTGGTATTATTATTATTAATTATAAATTAAAATTATTTTTTGGATGATATGTAATGATAATATGAAAGAAAGCATAATACATGTATTACACATGACATCTCCAGCACACAAGCAGGCGTACACACATATATAAGGGAGATGATATAAGCCAGGTGTCATAGGACTAAGTACATTTAGTTGAGCGCCTGATAAGGCAGCTTCTGCAAATTCCTCAAAATTGTATTGATTAATGTATATGCTAACTGTATTAATTGTATATGTATGTACTGTTAAGAGCTTTAGATTGGCTTATTTTTTTTTTGTTAGTTAGATATATGGCGCTATATCAAATGTTGTATATTATTATTATTATACTTTGTAGCAATACTGTAATTAATATTCCAATGTCCAAATGTCATTCATTTCCACTCCCATCTATGACCTATTCAGTCTCATAAAAAAACCTTCTACATTTACAGAAGAAGTTCTAAAACTGTAAAATTAAATGTATTGTTATGTGTTCAGTATGGGGGTGAGCGGTATGAAGACGTACAGAAAACTGGAGTTGTGTGTGATGTTTTGCCAGACATTGAGTGCTTTGGTAACAGAACATTCATACAAGATGGATTTCCTTGTATTAAGTGAGTATCGTCTCAACTTTATACTGGTGTTCTTATTAGTGTAAACCACAAGAATTATTAAAACATTAATTCTATTTCATTGATGTGATATAATGTCATTTGATATCGTATTCCTTGTGATATTTATATATATATATTACATTTTTAGCTCATGCTGAGCTTATAATTATGCCATACCGCAGCATTCGTCGTCCATCCATCCGTCAACTTGTTCTTTTGAATCTAGGGTCATGATATTTGACCAGTAGGTACAGTACCTGAGATGGAAAGCTATAAAGTTTCCTCGTTAAAATGACCTTGACCTACTTTCAATGTCACAGGGGTCAAATATATTAAAAATTTCAAACAACAATATCCTAAGAACCATTTAGACTAGAGTCATGATACTTGGGTATTTTATGAAGACCAGCAGTTTGAATCTTTTTCTTAATTACAGTAATGAGGTCAAAGGTCAGCTTTAAGTGCTAGTAGGAGTCAAAGGTCAACATGGATTAAAAACTTGAACAATCTTCTTCTCAAGTTCCATCAAGTCCAGGGTCATTATATTTGGCCAGTAGGTACCTGGGATGGAATGCAAGAAAATTTTCTCATTAAAAAGACCTTCTTTCAAGGTCACAGGGGTCAAATATGTTAAAACTTCAAACAACAATATGCTAAGAACCATTTGGACTAGAGTCATGATTATAACTGGGGTATGTTATGTAGACCAGCAGTGCAAATCATTTTCTTTATTACAGTAATGAGGTCAAAGGCCAACTTTAAAGGGGCATCACGGTGAAGTAAAAAAAAAATGTCTTTTTTTCAAATACTACATAAACATATCAAGTGTGACTCCTTATGGAAAATAACGATCGGATTTGGCTGAAATAGATTCATAAAAATGATTAAATCTAAGAAAATCATCGGTATTTCTACCTGTCTGACCAAGGTTTTGTTCAGGGATTTCCCTCTTCTAGCGCATGCGCATAGCACACCATTTCTTTGTAAACAAAATGACTGGCCGTGTGAAGTAAGCGGAAGAAAAGTGTTGTACCGTGTCAGCTACGAAACGAAAAGTTGCAAAATGGTCAAAAGATAGCGCAAGGAGTACGTTACGGAATCATTATTGCAGGTGGGCAGTATTCACAGATGAAAATAAATGCCCTAGCAGTTAGTACGGTGCATGTATTCTTCCGGATAGCCAGTTAAGCTGAAATGGAATCGACAGAAATTCTAGCGCTGTTTATGTTATGAATAAATATCTAAAACTATTAAGCTCGCTAGTATCTTTGTCTGAGTTTGAACACAAATGAACTTAGTTAAATATGTTAATGGGCATTTATCGGAGAGAGTTTACTTTGTGTTTCTATGATTATACAGTAGTTTATGCGAAAGGAAAGGATATGAGGCCCTCCAAGGGATAACTGTTGTGAAGGCCCACAGCGTATTTTCAGGGTCATCAAGATACGTGCACTATTAGATTCACATAATTTATAATATTACCGGGTTCAGTAAAATGGTATGATTTGATTATATTGCTGAGTTAAACGATTATTTTTGGTTTTACATGCAAGATTTAAATTAGTACTTATATGAATACCCGGCCTCCTCTGCCCCGGCAATATATAAAAAAAAATCAGAAAGGTTTGTCCCATGGTTGAGGGAAGGTGCTTAGCCCCGTACCATCTGTACCGGTACTTAAAATTCAATATATATATAAATATCTACTTTATGTTTATGTCTATTATCATTGTTGACATTATATTGTAAATGTATGACGGGAGAAGGCTGTGATAAGTTGTAAAAATTTGTGCCCCATCCCTTGTTCAATTTTATTGGCAACAAATATGTTTAAAGCTAAATAAATTTAATTTCTGAATATTGGCAAGCGTGCAATTAACTTCTGATGAATAATAATTACTGTTCAATAAGTTTGAATACGGACTCAGAAAACATATTACTTGGTTTCATAGCGTGGTAAGAAGTTGCAGTTGCCTGACGGCCCCTATCTGGGGCCCCCTCTGGAAACCGTTTCATCTCGCTCAAACCACTTGTGTTTACTGCCGAGTCAGGTGACGTTATCGGCGCTATTTTTAGCAGGGCTTTCCCGAACAATTCAAGTGGTCAAACTGGACATTTGGAACGGACTATGAATATGGGAATAGCGAGGTAACATAAGTGGAAGTGCATGCAATATATAAATTCATTAAAAAAAATATGGCTCTTAAAGTGATGTCCCTTTAAGTGATAGTCAGAGTTAAAGGTCAACGTGGGTTAAAAGCTTCCAAATTTAAATTTCAAATTCAAACAATATCTTAAGAACCATTTACCATTTACAATGGGTATTGAGCTGCAAAAATCTTCTTCTGCCAAAAGGAAATACCCACAGCTTTGATATTTTTAGCTCAAAGGGCCAAGTGAGCTTATGCCATGGTGCAGCGTCTGTCATCGGTCCGTCCGTCAATTTTTCCTTTAAAACGCTACTTGTCCTGAACGGCGAAGTAGATTTTGACCAAATTTGGTCAGAAGCATCGTTGGGGGAAGGGGAACAAATTTTGTATAAATGGTGGGTCCGGCCCCCCTGCAGGCTGAAGGGCAGGGCCCAATAGGGGGTATATAGCAAATTCTTTAAAATCCTTCTTCTTCTGTAGGAAGGAAAGGATTTGTTCCATATTTGGTCAGAAGCATCCTTGGGGAAAGTGGAACAAATTTTGTATAATTGGTGGGTCCGGCCCCCCTGCAGGCTGAAGGGCAGGGCCCAATAGGGGGTATATAGCAAATTCTTTAAAATCCTTCTTCTTCTGTAGGAAGGAAAGGATTTGTTCCATATTTGGTCAGAAGCATCCTTGGGGAAAGTGGAACAAATTTTGTATAATTGGTGGGTCCGGCCCCCCTGCAGGCTGAAGGGCAGGGCCCAATAGGGGGTATATAGCAAATTCTTTAAAATCCTTCTTCTTCTGTAGGAAGGAAAGGATTTGTTCCATATTTGGTCAGAAGCATCCTTGGGGAAAGTGGAACAAATTTTGTATAATTGGTGGGTCTGGCCCCCCCTGCGGGCTGAAGGGCAGGGCCCAATAGGGGGTATATAGCAAATTCTTTAAAGGGGCTGGTCGGAGAAAAAATTACAAATTAAATGGGTCTAAATGCGTTTTCTGGCCTTCCAAAAGTTATACCACGGCAATATGATGGTCGAGATCTGCTTGTAATGTCCCGTTTTGACCACTGAAATATCGGGGATGCCCCGCGTAAATTTAGCGCAGATCTATTTATATATGTCACGTGGTTGTTTCGAAAGTGAGGCAGTGAAGATAACAACAATAGCACGCCGTCTATCAGCCATGTCGAACTCAACTAGCGGACAAGACATCAATACTATACGTAAATAATTGTTTTCAAAGGTCATGTATGATGCAAGAGAGTATTCCTACCTATATGTTGTTGCTATATATAACGGTATTGATACCTCGTGCCTGTCATGACTTTTGCATGCATCTTTTTCTTTCGCTGCGATGTTTACATTTGGCCTTGTTGATGACGCGCATGCAGTAAAATTACATCACTGTTCTGGGTCAATTGAGAGTTTTAGACTGTCAGGTGACGATTTAGGATTTCTTTAATATAAATATAATTTTTACTCTTAGGGAGTGAATTTCAGTAAAATTTGAATCGGTATATTTCATAAGAAAGTATTTTAAACACGTGTATGCCGTTTTAGCAAATATGACATTTTTTCCCCGACCAGCCCCTTTAAAATCCTTCTTATGTAGGAATGAAAGAATTTGTTCCATATTTAGTCAAAAGCATCCTTGGGGGAAGAGGAACCAATTTTGTATAAACCGTGGGTCTGGCCCCCACAGGGGCCTGAGGTGCGAGGCCCAATAGGGGAAAAATAGCAAATTATTCTTTAAAATCCTTCTTATTCTGTAGGAATGAAAAGATTTGGTCCATATTTGGTCTGAAGCATCCTTGGGTAAAGGGGAACACATTTTGTATAAACGGTGGGTGTGGCCCCCCCTGGGACCTGAGGGGCAGGGGAAATAGAGGTTAAACTTTTAAAATCCTTCCTCGACCATCGGGATTAATGGATTTTATCCTAATTCGGTATTGAGGATCCTTTGGCCAAGGGGACTCAATTTTGTATAGGCAGTGGATGTGGTCTCCAAGGGGGCAGAAGGACAGGCCCAATAGGGAAAATAGAGGTAAATCTTTAAAATCCTTCTTCTACCATAGGGATGAAGGTATTTCTTCCCAATTTGGTCTGGAGGATCTTGGGCAAAAGGGACTTGAAGTTGTATAAACAGTGAGTGTGCCCCCCCCCCCCCCCCCCCCCCC